TTCAAAATCAAATAAAAGTTCCTCTTATCTATTGAAAGAACTACTCAAAGTAATTCTTTATTTTTTATAAACAACTAAACTCCATGTCCAAATCTGCCTTATTAGCCAGTTATATAAATTAAAAAAAAAACATTTTCTAAATTACTCATATATATAAACCTCTCACTCCTTTCATTATCTTAATATTGCTTTCTGCAGTTAACTTTCACTGAGATAATAGTAGCTACCAATTACTGGAGCTAGGACACGTTTAGCATTCATTCTCTCTGTTCCTCTAAACATAAAAGACAGCTTTACATCACAGATAAGGAAAGAAAAATTCCAGAAGTTGTCATTTATACAAGGTTAAGCAGCTAGTTTATTTCTTTAAAGTAGGATTACACAAGTAGAATAAGAAATGAATGGCACTGATAGTAGCAGTGAGTATGTACAGATTTGAAGTTTGTGATATTCTTCCACTTAATCATGGTAGATACAATAAATAAATAAATTTAGCAGTATCTAGAATCCTAGTCCATAAATTTCACTAAATGTGGAGAGTTTCTAACAGAAAATAGAACAACTCAATTCAGAGTTTGTGCTAAAATTCAGAACTTGGCTCTGGATCCAGCTTTGCTATTATCTAGCAGAGGCGAGTTACTTCACTTTTGTGCGCCTCTGTTTCTTCACCTAATATGGAGGGAAAATACTTGTCCAACCTGTCAGAAGTTTGTTGTGAAAGAGAAACAAAATACACAAAAGAGCAATGGAATATACAAAAGAGCTTTGAAAAAAGAACCTTTTAAAAAATAAAAATATTGAAAACCTTTAGAACAAACACATCAGAACTTTATCACATATAAATCAGAGTGTTTCCTTATCTGGAAAATGCAGATGCTGGATCAGATGATCTCAAAGTTCTCTTTCAACTCTAAAATAAATTCAGGAAATCTACCTAACCAGTTAAGAGTCTAATAAAGTCCTTTATCAACTCCTTCAAAAAACAAAACCTTTACTTTTTTATGGGTGCACTAACTAAACAGGGGCCTTGAGTAGAACCAATAAGAGAGGCCAAAAAAGGCTTGACTGATCACAGCTCAGTCATCTGTCCACGTAAGATGAGAGTCAAATGTCTCCCTCAAAGAAAAAAATCCGGAATTTAGCTGACAGGCACAAAAGTGGGAACTTCAAAACAGGAAATACACGAAATGTGCTTCTGGTTGTTGTAGGGAACCCACGTAATGTAGATGGCTAAGGTAAGATGCTCTTCCTTTCTGATGCCACAGCGTAACTCGGAGAAATCGAGTCCAGATACTGGCTAAGAACAATGTTTGGTAAAGACCCTGAACTTCAACAAGGGAAAAAACCAATCATGACTACAGGCTGGTAAACATAGTTCAGCTAGAAAAAGCCAAGATGTCCAGAGACAGCTACCTTAGAGAAGGTTCAAAGAAGACAACTCAGAAATTCTTATAAGCGGAGCTGGTCATACCTAGATGGCTAGATGTCATACCTAGATTCATCAGAAATCTAAACTCTTATTAACTCATTTACTTCTGTTTTTGATATATTAAGTTTTCTTTCAATTTCCTAAAAGCTTATGCTTAAAAATTCTAACCTAGTCTCTGCAGAAACACTGTAACCCAGCTCCAAAGCTAGGCATGAAGGGATCCACAAATTCTCTGAAATCATATATAAAACTTGTGTTTGTGCTTTTTTCTGAGAGGGGGATACCTAGCATTCATCATCTCAAAGGGATCCAAGATTCAAAATGATTAAAAACCAACTCACTTAATGGGTAATACTCTGAAGGAAGCTGAGAGACAAATCTCTTTTAGCATAAACCTGTCCTTTTACATTGCATTTCAACATTCTAGAAGAAATCTCAGAGTAAGACAGTCTCACTTAA